CATCGGTAAAGACTTGTAGTTGTGTGTCATTGGGTCCGTTCCAGATGAGCAGAACTCCCCCGTCAAGTTGCCAAGGCTGTAATCTCTATAGAAGAGCCCTGCTGGCAGAGTGGGTTATTTGTTGAACTGCTAACCACCAGGCCATAGCCAGTATGCAGGAGACACGCCGGGTTTTGAGTGCCTGGGAAGACTGACAGCCTCCGAAACCCACATGGACAGTTCTGCTCTGTCCTAGAGGGTCTCCAGGAGTCAGAATCCACTGCAACAGCATCCATAAAAAGATCATCATAATTCATGGTAATAATAGTGACTATGTGAGGGGACTTCAAAACTGAGTGGCAAGTGGAATTAAAAGATAACGAATTTTCTCTATGAACTATTTGAAGCCCCCTCTCTACTACTGAACACTTATAAGCTAGATGCACATGTATCATTTCATTTCCACAACTCGGAAAAACTTTTTTTTTTTTACCCTTCATTCTTTTTTTTGGAATTCCTCATATTTTTGAATCATAATGAGACACAGGCTCATAAAGGCAGAGGAAGACCTGCATCCTCCCCCCACACCCACCCCCCTACACCCCACACCACCTTCTCCAGCCCAGGAACCAGGATGGCTGAGAGAAGATACTCTGAGCACACACAGAAAGCAAAAACCAGGATAAGAGAAACGCTGGGTTAGTGACCTCCTGTGTCCGTAAAAAACACGATCCAGATGTAACGGAGACTTTAAAAGACAGATCTGATGCAAGGGACGAGGCAGCTTCATTCTGTGCTGCCACAGACACTACTTGATTGAAGACATAAACCAAGGGGGTGGGCCACCCCAGTCGTTCTCTTGTGGGGACAGGAGGATGTAAGCTGATACTTAGTCTGAAAGTGGGCACACGTCCATTCTCTCCCCTCACTCAAGCACCAGACTCACTGCCATTGAGTCGGCTCCCACTCTTAGCAGTCCTGCAGGGCGGAGGAGAGCTGCCCCGGCGGGGTTCTGAGGCTGTCGGTCTCTGTGGAAGCAGAAAGCCGTCTCCTTTTCCCTCAGAATGACTGGTGGTCTGGAACTGCCGACCTGGTGGCTAGCAGCCCAACATGTAACCCACTAGGCCATCAGGGCTCCCTCCCCTCCTAACTCCCTCTTGCACACCCCTCTATGTCCTATGTCACTGGGTGTGGCTGTAAGCAGATCAAAGGCACAGTCCTTCCGGAACTTCAAGCCTCCTGGGAACAGACAGCTCAACATGCCCAGCACGGACATGGATCTGGGAAAGTACAGAGAAAGTCCAAACTACGTAAGCTAAGGAACCTGCGAGGTGCAGCACGGCCTCAATGGCCGGACGCTCAGAAGAGCCACTCATCTGGAACTACCTGCGCGAAGAACCATGCTGCCAGCCACCAAACGGACCGCAGGCGCCCCCGAGCGCATGGGACAGCAGCCAAAGCTCACCAAGCCAAATGCTAGCAGAAGACATGTGCTTGCAGGGAGAGAATTGAGCCAAGGGAAGAGTCTCACTTCTGCTTCAATTTTCCTAAGGGTGCTTGTCACCCAGTGCGGACCGTGGGAGCTAGCAACCCTTCGAGCTGTGGAACTGTGTGCACACGTACAGCCACAGCACCTCAAAGTCTCGACGTCCTGTTTACTGCCCTTCGATGTCTGTCTTCAGCTTCCCACCGATTTCATCTAGCCGATTCTGATTAGAACTGCCCCATAGGGTTGCTAAGTCTCTCATCTGTATGAAAGCGGAAAGCCACATCTTTCTCCCACCCAGCAGCTGGTACGTTCAAACCAGGGCTCCTGCTGGTACCAAAACAACCCCCCCCCCTGGGGAAATAGATCTATGAGCCTACATTTATAG